CACTTTTGGAAACCTGAAAGTGCAGTCGTTTCGTGTTTTTAAGTGTCGTTCTTTTCCATTTCCCCTCTTCCTCCCTTTCTTGCCGACACTCCTCTTCTCTTCCTCCTCCTCCTCCTCTTCGGTCTTCTTCGATCTCCTTCTTTCTTGTTTCGTTCTTTTTTTGTGTCTTTTTCTCGTTATCTTTCTCTCTCTTTTCCTCTTCATCTTTCCCTTACTCTTACTCTTTCCCCTTCTTTCCCTTCTTCCCTTTCCTTCTTCCTCTCCTTCTCCTCCTCCTTTTCACCCTTCGTCTCTCTTCTCCCCTCTCATTTTCTCTACTCCTCCCTCCCCTCCTCTCCCCTCTCCCCTCCCCCTGTCCCATCTCCCACTTTCCCCTTCACTTTTCCTTGCAGGGGAGAGTGAGCAACACCTGGCTGGGCTGCGGTGGGGGGAGGGGGTGGTGGTGGTGGTGGGGGTGCTAGTTATGTTGCTATTTATGTTCCCAATTATTTTTAATTTCATTTTTTTTTAGTTATGTTATTTTGTGTGATTGTGTGAGGTTTACTTTCAATTTTGGCACACGCGCGCACATGCACACGGACACGCACACACGCACACGCAGCAGCACACGGACACCAACACCAACAGACACACAGACACACATAACGCACACGCACACGCACACGCAGCACGAATCACACGCACACACACACACGCACACACGCACACACGCAACACACGCACACACGCACAACACACACACAACACACACACCACACACACACACACACACACACACACACACACACACACACACACACACACACACAACACACACACATACACAGACACGCACAACGCACACACCACACACACACACACACACACACACACACACACACACACACACACACACACACACACACACCACACACACACACACACACAACACACACACACACACACACACAGACACGCACACACACACAGACCACACACACACACACCAACACACAACACACACCACACCAACACACACACAACACACACACACACACACACACACACACACACACACACACACACACCACACACACACACCACAAACACCACACACCACACACACACAACACACACACACACACACACACACACCACACACACACACACACACACACACACACACACAAAACACACACACAGACACGCACACACACACAGACACACACACCACACACCACACACACACACAGAACACGCACACACACACACAGACACCCACACACACACACACACACACACACAACACAACACACACACACACACACACACACACACACAACACACACACACACACAGACACACACACCCACACCACACAACAACACACACACACACCACGCACACACACACACACACACACACACACACACACACACACACAACACACACACACACACACACACACACACACACACACACACACACACACACACACACACACACACCACACACACTCACACACACTCACCACAACACAATATATATATATATATATATATTATATATATATATATATATATATAATATATATATATATATATATATATAATTATATATTATATTAAACAACGTGCCGATGTTGTGTTATGTTGTTTTATTTGTAGTACAAGAGAACACAGAAGAACATCGATGTCTTTATCAGTTCCTTCCCTTTCTCCTCTGCTCTCCCGTTGTTCCTCTCTCTCGGCCTTCTCTCTCCCCCATCTTTCTCTCTGTTGTCATTCCCCATTTCCTCTTTTAACGATTCTTGCTTTTCTTTTTCTGCCTTTCTCCTCCTCATGCCTTTCGACCTTTTCTTCCTCCCTCCTTCCATCCTTCTTTCCTCCTCCTCCCTTCCTTCTTCCTTCCTTCCTTCCTTCCTTCCTTCCTTCCTTCCTTCCTTCCTTCCTTCCTTCCTTCCTTCCTTCCTTCCATCCTTCCTTCTTTCCTTCCTTCCTTCCTTCCATCCTTCCTTCCTTCTTCCTCTTCCCCTCCTCCCTTCTTCCCTTTACTTTGCTACTCTTTCTTCCTTAACCCCATTCCCCAATCTCCTCCCCTTTCCCCTCTTCTCCTCTCTTCCCTCCTTTTCCCCTTTTTATTTCCCCTTCCTCCTCTTATTCGCGACTCTTTCTTTCTCCTTTCTCCTTCTCTCTTCCCCTTTCCCCTTCCCCCTTCCCTCCACCGCTCTTTCTTGTTCCCACTTCCCCTCCGCTCTTCTCCACCCCCCCCTTTCCCCTCCTTCCCCTTTCCC